AGGAAACTAAGGTTCAGAGTTTTTACATAACTGACCTAATGACACCAAAGTACTAAGTGGCCACATCAGAAATCCCAGGTTAGATTCTGGAACTTATACTCTCTTTCCTATACCTTTACTGTACGATGAGGGGGTAAATCTCTCCTTGTATGTCTTTAAGTAAGTCTTTTAATCTTTATATCCCCTTTTAAAATTAAAATTAAAACCCTCTGCCTAATATACACACTTCTGTGAGGATAAGTGGGTTTACTATTGTGCAAAGCACTGAAGTCCTTGGAAAATAATCACTATTTAATCTATGTATACAATTAAAATTATTTTAAAATGTTTTGTACACAAAAATGTCAACAGTTATATACAAAGACTTAACTTACAGCATAATCAAAATTAACTAGTCTGCATCACAAACCTATGCTTGTTTTAACTGGCTTATAAACACAAACTCCAAATCACTAATTGACTCTCTGTTCCAAAAATCTATTTTGTGTGGCTGAGCACTCGACTGGATTGTGTCTAACCAATCAGTTCACAATTCTGCCTTGTCCTGCTCTACCTTCCTTTTAATGAAGGTGTCTCTTGTTAAATACTGCAGGAATTGCAGATTGTGTTGTCATACCAACTCATATAAAAATACCTTTGGACCTATAATCTAAAAGCAGTTCAACATGGTTGTTTGCAATATGACTTTGATTTTAGAAAAGCAAATCCACAATTTTTGGCCTCAGGTTTTATTGTTTGTTTGCTTTCCTCTCATTTCCAGAAGTAAAAATTTGGACTCAGTGACTTCACAGGCTCAGACCACCTCTAAGACTCTAGGCTCTCTGTACAAATTGTGGCACAGAAAGCTCAGTGGTTATGCATCGGAGTCAAACAGCCATGGATTCAAATCCTGGTCATGTGACTTTTGATAAATTACATAATCCCTCTAAGCTACGGTTTCTCATTAGTTGCAGAGATATTTAAAGGAGATAATTTGTATACACTTCTGTATTGTTTCCTGTTGCTGCTGTAACAAATCACTACAAACTCAGTGGCCTAAAACAACATAAATTTATTCTCGTATAGTTCTGGAGGTCAGAAGTCCAGTGCAAGTCTCACTGGACTAAAATCTAGGTATTGGTAGGGATGCATTTTTTCTGAAGGCTCTTGAATCATTTTGTGCTCATTCAGGTTGTTGGTGGGATTCAGTTCCCTGTGGTTATGAAACTGAGGTCCCTATTTCCTTTGCTGGTGGCCCCTTCTGTCACCTGCAAAGCCAGCATCACCCATCAGAGCTGTTCTCCCACTTAAAACCTCTTGTCTCTTTGATTTTCACATCTCTCTGACCAATCCTTCCACCTTTCTCTTCCTCTTTTAATGGCTGAGATGATTACTTTTGGCCCACCCAGTTAATCCAGGATAATCTCCTCATTTTAAAGTTAACTGATTAGTTTAAAGTGAACCTTAATTCCATCTTCAATTTTAATTACCTTTTGCCATGTAATGTAACATAGTCACAGGTGTCTAGGATAAGGACATGGACCTATTGGGGCCATTATTCTGCTTATTATAAGCTCTGAGGATAATACCTGAATGTGTAGTAAGAGTTCAATAAATAGTCATAATAGCCAATACTATGCTTACTCTCTGGCTGGTGTTGATCTAAGAGCTTTATGAATATTCATGTATTTCATCCATATAACAATCCTTTTAACATGAGGCATGAACTATTATTATCATTCCCATTAACAAACAAGGAAATGAGGCACAGAAAGATTAGGTCACTTCATTGACCTGGTAAAAGGCAGAATAAAGATTTGAACCCAGACAGTTTGGCTCCCTATTCTGTGCTTTTAATTAAGATCCATTCTTCATTTCAGTGTTATTATAACAATCAGAAAAACAAGAAAGCCTTTGCTTAAACTAAATGCCAGTAATGATAAATTACTTCAGTGAAGGGTAACACCACTATTGCTATGACTATAGCATCTTTACTTCTTTATCCAAGGTTGTTAGACCTGCATTTGGGGCTGACATTCCTTTATTGATCTGGTTGAGTCTTCCCATGGGGTTGGGAAGAAAATCCTTGCTAAATGTATTCCCACAGGGGAAGAAGTTAGGGATCTCTGTTTTTAGATTCCAAAAACTGATTACTATCATAATGAGAGTTCTTAAATCCCTCACGTTCTATTGAAATGCTATTTCATTTCATTTTAAAAACTTACTTCAACATCAATATGGAAAGTGAGAAGAAAGTAAATGACCACCTTTTTGGATGACAGAATACCTTTCATGCTCCTGCACAATCACATCTCCTTTCTTCCAGGAAGAGAGTGCCCTGGGAGAGGCTCTGGGTTTACAATCCAAGCTGACCAGGCTGCCCATCTGTACCTGAACCAACTTTTTCATTGGGTTCTTTGAAAAATCTGGAGCAGAAGCTGAAAAGGAAGAAAGAAGAGACAGATTGAGAATTGGATCATTGATTTAGTGAGAATTAGATCATGGTTTTGACTTGTAAATTTTAAAGGTCGAGTTTATAATCATTTTTAAAGGTTGCTTGACATGTAAGATGTCAGTGCTTGATTCACTTGATTTACTGTGCACCACATAAAGGATTTCAATGCAAAAAAATTAACTCGTGCTATTGTGTTTTCCGGCAAGTTCTAAATCTTGAGATAATTATACAAGAATTTTTAAAGTTGACTGTGAAGATTTAAAATAGCTAAATCATGAGTTTATTAAATCAAAGGAAAACATTTAGCATAGAATTTTTTTTAAGTTAGTACTATGAAGTCAGGAATAGAGTTGGTCTCTGTTGTTGACCACTAGGACACAGCACTTGGCACAGGCCCTGGAATTCAGTACGTGCAAGGCAAATGCTTTTAGAATGAAGGCTGAGTATTGAATTAATATTCTCAGTTATAAAAATTTATTAAAATGAAGGCTGAGTATTGAATTAATATTCTCAGTTATAAAAATTTATTAATTTCTATACGGGTAATTCAAACATTCCTCTTGTATTATAAAATTTTCATGTGGTTATGTTTAACCTCTAAGTTGGGGAAGAATAGTATCATAATATAATATATTAAATGCTATAATATTACATTAAATATTATAATATGTAAAAAAATCATGTTTGCTAAGAATGCATGGGAGGTCAATCCTGAAACAACACCTGAATGTTCAAGATACATAATAATGTGTCATTCGAATGAAATGATATGTTAATCAGAAAATCACTCTTCCTTTTACTACAAATGTGGAAAAAAGTTAATAACCTAGTGCATTTCCCCAAATATCTAATGCTCTGTCTTATGGCAAATCCTAGTGAATATATTTTCTTGATATGTGGAAATCTTACAGTGAATTATGTTATGTGATTATATGATGCTACATCAGAAGGTCCATGGGAAGACTCATATTATCTTTTATTTTCCAGGAACTTTTTGAAGTACCAGCATATAAATCATTGTGGTAAAGAAGACATGCCATCCAGAAATTGTTGGCCTTAAAAATTAAGATCCTGAGAGAATAACTTTTACAAAAATAGAACACTTGTTTATATTTGAATATAATCTTTTTTTCCCTAAATAGCTCATGTTTTTTTCCTACACGATAACCTCACGTAGTTCATTGAATAGGAATTCATCCATTTTAAAGGTGAATAAACTATAGCTTGACAGGTTAATTTACTACGAGTACAGCAATGCTTTGACTTAAGGACTTGTGTGTAAATCCCTCCTCTTTCTGTCATAATATCCCACTTCTCCATCATGAAATAACAGTAGACAGATTCCAGGGGATGACCTCCCTTCCCTGGCTTCAGCCCTCCTGGTACAGGTGATACATTTCTAACCTCCAGGGACCAGGGATGAGAGACTTACTTTCCATTAAACCTTGACATTTTGGGGCTGGATAATTATTTGTTGTGAGAAGCTGTCTTGTGCATTGTAGGATATTTAGTTGCCTCTCTGGTCTCTTCCCAAAAGATACTAATACACAAACAGACAACCAAAAATATCTCCAGACATTTTCAAATATTTGCTGGGGGCAAAATCATCCCCACTTGTTGAGAACCACTGAGTTAAATCAATCAGGGCCTTACAACATTCTGGCCATATGGACTGAGTCAGTGATGGGTACTGACCAAATCAGGCTAAATGGGGCCAGTGGCATGCAATTAAGAAAGCTCTTTCTTCTACTGGACGGACTGTGGTGAATCAACTCAACATGTTGGGAAACATCATAGTGAGACAACGGTGATAATATTTGAGCCCTGGATTCAGGTATGATAAAATCCAAATTCTTCATTTTAATTACATGGATCTACGCGTTCCTTCCTTCCTTTTTTCTTCCTTCCTTCCTTCCTCTTATTTATGCTATGTTATTATGTTATGCTATGCATACTACGCTGTGACATTTTGTTTGGATTTTCAGTCATTTGAAACTTAATTGTCCTCCTGGTCAATTGCCCTAAATGAGATAGAACATTTACTTGTTTCTCCTATATGTAAAGTGCAAAAAGAAGAAATTAATTGATCATTTCAAGTAGTGGAGCCCTGGTTAATTAAGGCTTCACTCTGTCGAATGCTGGACACTTCTACCAGGGTTACTAAGGACAAAACCAAGTCCTTTTGAACTGAATATGATTGATTCAAATTTTGGTATTTTATTTTATGGATCAGCAACAGAGAACACCAAAATCACTTTTTCTCCTAAAAGGCCTTACTTAGTTTACAATATTGGAGTTGGTTAAGGATATCTTTGGCCAACACTTTCTTCCTACTGTTGATTGACTTCAACCTTTGGGTGTCACTTCAGGCCATGATTGCTGCCTTCCCTCAGAAATTGTTAAAATGTATGACTTTATTAGAAAACCTGAGTAATCATGTTGTAATACTATAGATATTATGATGGTGCTTCAAAAATTTATGGAAAATAGAATTAAAAGATAACACAAATCTTTCCATGAACTTTTTGAAGTATCCTTGTATTAGATATACAAATCTAAAATGAAAAGTAAATATTTGTGCTTCTGGCAACAATGGAGGATTTAAGAAAAAAAATTAAGAGAAGAACAGAGAAAGTCTTACCAACAACCTTGAGTTCAGCACTGGAATAGACGAGACCATGTTTGTTTTCTGCTATGCATTGGAACATGCCAGAATCAGTCACATTTAGGTTTGATATTGTAAGAGCACCATTTTCTATCTGTATTCTCTCCTAGATGATAATAAAAATGTTTTGCATATAAACAAATATACCATTTTAGAAGAAAAATAAACATCATTGACCAACATTTAAATTATACATAAACCTCCTACTTTCTTCTCAGAATATTAGGCACTCTGACCCGAAATTTAACCTTTTCCTTATTTGAAATGTGAAACACTAATTTAGTCTCATAGTCACACATTGGAAATATGAATAGACATCCTTCAGTCCCAAAGTGTATCAGTAAAATAAATAACAAAGCAAGAGGTAAAATATGGCAGCCATTTCAGTTTTTCCCTAAGGTTAAAGTTTCAGACTTTAAAAAATGTACCATGAGGTTGATTTGCATCCCATCAATTGTAAAGGTTTTCACGATTAAAAAAAAAATCATGAAGTTAAAAATATTATATAATTTGTACATTAAAAAGGGTTCTAGAAAACACATATTTACCAGAGTTTTTAGGTAGTATGAAAGGTTATGTGTAGAAATTTGAAGAAACATAATTGACTTAGCACACACAAACACAAAAAAGCCAAAATTACATGGCTTGAGAAGTGATTGAGAAAATAAGTACTCATGTAACAAGGTAACCAAGTAATAGATACATGTATTCTCCAGAGGTCATACCAAGTTGTCAAACAGGAAAAGGAAATTACATTCTATATTTGACTAAAGTAAGGCCTTCTCTATTTTCAATACCAAAAAGCATAGCATGTTATTTTACAGACTAAATTCACAAAAATCACCATTTTCCCAATAAAACACAATGTTGAAAAGATCTCCTCTTTGGCAGACTGAGCACTTAATTCTGTATTTTGTCCTCCTGTACCACTCCTTAGATGCACATGAATGTGTGCAAACTCAGCAGTTCACCTTGGTACTAGGTACTGGAGAAAGCATTTACTTAACAAAAAATGGGGACAGAGTGGATTAATCAGGCACATCACCTTACCTCTAGTATCAGGGCTTCTCCATTTTTCAACCATCGGTAGGAGGGTTTGGGCTTGCCACTTGCCCGACATTCCCAGTACAGATTGTCTTCCACAGCTATTTCCACATCTTTTATGAGTTGAACCCAATGGGGCTTTGCTGCAATAAAAACAGAAAAAAAGGAAGAAAAAAGAAAAAGAAAAAGAAAAATTAAAACCACCCAGCAAATGAAAAATAAACATTTTATGCAGGTAAATATAAAGATATGACTGTGAGGAATAGACTAAGGTGAGCATAAAGGCTAGAATTATATTTAATCCACTAAGTACTTACTAAATGGATATGAAACCTTTCTAGATTTGAGCATGGATGTTGCAATCTGTCACTGTCTAAGCCAAATTCATTATGCTTTCTCTGTTTTCAAAATTCTGGGCACTGTTTTATGTTCTTCAGACATCTTTTAGTAGATAGTAATGCAGGTACACAAAATTGATTTTCTTTTCCAAGTATAGCTTTGAATTATGATATCACAATCGATGGCAATAAGTGATAACAACAAATATTGGTCTTAATTATGAACTGAAAATTAGCATCCACAGGACAGAAACTTCTACAGCTGAGGAAAAAAGATTTTCTTCCAGTTAGAAAATAACTCTTAATTAAATACAAACCAGTGAACATCTTAGAAACCTCTGAGCAAATTAAAGTGAAAGCAGGAAGAGATGGATAAATTGGATCAATCTGAAGCATATGATTTTTTACCAGAAAAAGAAGTAACTGATGCAACGTTAAATTATGTATGTAAATCAGTTAGATCAAGTGGATTTATCATTTTTTACTTATGTTTTAGAAGATATTTGGAAAATTCTTTTTACAGATGAAAGTAACATACTACTTACAATGAAAGTCACTCAATATACAGAGTGTATTCAGCCAAGTCTCAGCTTGCATTTTAGATCCAAAACTGGGAGGTGAGATGCCTTACTGGTTTCTCATTGCATTATGCATGTGATGTGCACTGTGAGATTCACATTTGCATTCTCCATATGGAGAAACTGTTTATTTCTCTTTAATTGCAACCATGGGAAGATTTGTCTTTCCATTTCTATCTCATAAAATTGCGTTTTTATAAATGAAATTGAAATGGAACTATGACTGTTTAACTTCTACAAAAAATATACAGGTTCTAAGTTTTACTTTATTTATTTATTTATTTATTTTAACATAAACTCCTTGCCCAGTATGAAGTGTAGTTCAGTCCCAAATCACTTCTCTCTACTTTATATTAAAACACATTTTCTCCTTTAAGGAATTATCAACCTGAGATGACATGAGACTGCAAACAGACTCACACATAAGCGTTTGACTGAGACCCGGGTTTCTAACAAAAATTTCCATGGACTTCCCATATTAATATTTTTTTTATCCTAATGGGGGAATAATTGGCTGACTAAGCCAATTGTAAGATTACACCAGCCATATTAATCATAATTTCTCCCCTATTCCATCATGTAAGATCCAAATATTCCATCATACTATATTTTTACATAAAATATTAAAGCATATAGCCAGAGAACTGCATGGCATCTATTAAATATACTAACTTTCATGAACCTCTTTCTGCCATTAATTTCTTATGTATTTCTTAGGTACATATTGTATTACCTACATAATGCACTAACGTAATAGCTTACCTTCTTTACTAAGTATAGTGAGTGCTGTTGGTTTTCTGCTGTGTATTCATTTCCTCTCTTTCTTATTCTAAAATAAGCCCAATTTTTCATTCATTTATCCTCCCTTCCAACACCTCACCTTGTCCATAAAATCCAGGGAAACTTGACCTTCTCCTTTTTTACAAAGGGAAGTTCCTAAACTGTCTAATTTAATTTCTCCTTGCCAATAATTGGTTTAGGAGTGAACATGTAGCCAGTGAGATTTGAGGAGGGGATTGCTAGAGGTTTCGAAGAGAGGAAGGATGAGTAATGATTGATGTGTTGATCCCTGCTGACAGCCATTTTGTGATCATTACGAAATCCAACACGCAGAGAAAGGAGAAGGGTAGGTAAGAGCAGAAAGAAAATCACAGAGAAACTGTGCCAGGGCCTGATTATAAACTTTTTGAATGCCAATTTAGCTTTGGATTGCTCATTATATGGGCCATACAATTGTTTATTATTTATAGAGGATTGCCATTACATACAGCTAAACACATTTCTACTAAAACATTAAGACAGCTGGAACACCCTGTGTTTTCTAACAATGGTCATTTCTTACTGTGGATCAGGTAGTGATTGCTCAGAAAGAAGGAACTAAGTTAGGAGATGAGAAAGGGTTACTTGCTTTGTGGGGGCCTTAGAGCTCACCAGCTACATGAGTCAAGTGCTCACAACACCCCTGCCCCCTACCATTTCCATATTATCCTTCCAACCCAAAGACCTTGACACCTGGGTAACTTCTGCACTATATTTTCTAAACTAATCATGTAACAAGACAGGAGAGTAACAAAACAGGATGACTCATGCTACCAAAACATTGCTCCATTTTGTTCCTGACAGATCTTAAAATCTTATGATAATGTAACAAGAGTCAATCTTGTTAGAGGTAATACAGTGGTAGACTTCAAATTTTGGGGGGAGAAATTCATAATAAGCCCTTTTAAAAATATTTATCTCTGCAAATGTTTTCCTCCCTGCAACATTTATGCGTGCTATACAAATTTGCACTGCAAACGGCTTCATTTTCCAGTTTCTAAAATAAATAGAATATAATACAATTTGCATTTCACAAAAATGGTCAATTCCCATTAGTTTTATAATATTTCTAATGATTAAATTGCAAGTATATATTCACTGAGCTTACATCTTCATACACAGGTGCATTTTGTGAAATCACTTATTTATTCTAAGTCATATTTTCATCAAAAACCTAGTGTTTTAAAAAAACAAAATAGATTTGAAAACAAATTTTGACAAAAAGAGACAATCTAATTTTCCTACAAATAGACTCTAAATAAACGTAACATAATTATTCTTTCGCTACCCAAATGGAGCAGTACATCAAATAAACATGATTACAAATTAAAGGCAGCAGAGTACAGATACATTATTGGAAGGGATAGAGTAACACTGAAGAACTCAACAAGATCCTGAGTTTATGTGGTTTGTCTAATGCAGTAATTGCAACTGTTCCCCCTAGACCATTATTTACTTATTTATTTAGCCAAGTAAAGGTAATAAAGAAAGATATAAAACCACCTTTTCTAGAAGAAAGGACAGACAAAATAAAATCTTTCTCTAATGTGTTCCAGTGTGTAAAAGGTTATTCTTAGGAAAAAATATGAAATATTTCATTATCATATGAATCATCTTAAAATGCAAAAGGAATGTGTCTCCAACTCCACTGCAAAATTTTATTTCTTTTTAATTCCTGCTATGAGAAATGTTTATCCTCAGGTAACAAAATGAGAGCAAAATGTAGAACAGAACAAGCTGAACACTGGAATTCTGTTATAATCTCCCACCCCCCAACAACCATAATATTTTATAGATGAGAGAGCAAAAGCCCAAAGTAGATGCTCACCATAATAAGTGAGACGCCCTCTGGCAACATTTTTTCCTCGTGAATTCTCAGCAATGCATTCATAGGAACCTGCATCTTCCTGTTGGAAGTTGGGGATTTCAAGCATACCATTGAACTTCCTTAATTTAATTTTACTGGAAAAAGGCAGTCCATCACTTCTTCTCCAATTAATCTGAGGTACGGGACTAAGAAGAAAATTGTCAAGTTGTCTGCTATTGTCTGGAAACCTTTTGGACTTGACAAAGCAAAGCTTTTGTTAAGATAGAGCAATAAGGCTCAGGTTTTCAAATACAGAAAAACACGTCCAGTTTTCAATTACATAAACCTAATGCAAAAATTTAACTCTTTAAGTTAATATTTTAATAAAACAAACTGCATTTTCTTGAGTTAATTCATGATTTGGAGGGAAAAAAGCCCAATACATACCCACTCTATTAGAATACAACAAGAGAACAAGATAAAGAAAAAGAACACCAATTTAGTTCATAAAATTAGGAAGGCAATGTCATTTTCTCCAAAATGTCTTTAAAGTTTCAAACTAAATTTTATATGTGCATTTTTCCTGTGTTTAATTCTTCCTTTGCTTCTAAATAAAAGGAAAAGAGTCTGTCAAAAACAACCCTGATCTCTTACACCAACCTGGTATTTTAGCACACAAAAGTAAATGTTATAAAGCTTACTTTCCAAGGGCAAAACATTCCAATTTCACAGTTGAACCTTTAGCTGCTGGAAGAGTTTCTGGAAACTGAACTTCTATTTTGGGTTCATATTCACCCATTACACCTGTAAATCCACAAAATAAAGTTAATAGTTTCAATGTTTCCTTTGGAATTGCCTCGTTTTCCTTAAATAAAATTTTCTTTTGCTTCATTTTGAATCAGCTTCTGCTGGTTCTTCAAATTACTCACTAGAGCTAACTTGGGTCAAACATGCAACATTAATAAACCTTTAAGAACTTTGGATTCACTGATTCATAACTTACCACTTAACAGAGCAGTTTTAAGAAAACCACTATGCCTTTTACATTATATAAAATGTGGGGCTTTTAAAATTCTGTATTCAATTTCGACATTTCTAGTCAAACTGAAATATACAATTTATTATGACTTCTTGAAATTTCCTTAAGAACAAAAATTACAGCAGGGAATTTACTTAATGATACCCCAGTAGCATAGACACCAAAGTAAAACTTATTAAATGGCTTACTGGAGTCAAGAAACAGTGATTTAATAAATGGGAAAAGTCAAATTCAATTATAACTGACTGGAAAGAAGTGCTTCAATGCTTTGTGGTCATGGTATTATGCTGTATCAGATGGGGTTTTGTGTAAGTGGGTCAACTACCCAGGCTTATAAATCTGCTCCCTTTTGCAGCTCATGGACTCTCTTTAAACAGCTATCAAGGTGTTGATGAAACAGGTTTTTTTCTTTAATGATTTTTTTATAGATGCTTTTAAGCCTATCACAAAATATCCAGAGCTTTAAAAACCTCAAGCTGGCAAAAGTCAGGACAGGTAACTTCGCAGAAATACAACATGAGCTCTCATGCTTGGTTTAATGCTCTCCTGTCAGTGTCCTGAAATTCTTCATAATTTTTCAACAAGGGGCTGCTCATTTTCACTTTGCAATGGTCCTTGCAAATTACAAAGCTGGTCCTGGCTAAGAATTATGTATAAGGACCTATGGTTTATAGAATCATTTTTGTCACTGTACTGAAAAAAAAAATGAAGTGATAATTCTTCAAGATATACTTTTCGCTTTTCCCCATTTGTCTTTGCTTGTAGTCAAAACACAATTTCCACTCAGAATTACACTTTAAAAAATTTCATACCATCAGAACGTAGCACCAAAGGAGTCGGAGAGCCTAGGACTCTGGCATTTGTCACTGCACTTGTCACCACACATGTGTAATTTCCCACATCGGATGGCTCCACCTTGGCTATGTAGAGATGCCCTGTCTCTTGAGAGACAAATCTCCGACTATCTTCTTCAACAATTGATGGATATTCATTGAAGATCCAAGCATAAGATAGTTCTAATGAAATTTTTGAATAGAGAAGAAGATTCTATTATTAAAGAAAGTTTTCCATAGTATGTTAGAAATTACAAAATCACCTTTACTTCAAAGTAATGCTTAGCACTGTTGTTGCAGGTCATGAAGAGAAACAGATATGTGAAATGATTCTGTGTTAATTCTTTACTGTTATGGAGGACACTATGGATAAGCATTCTTGTGGGAGCGACATTATTACTGTCATTATATCCCTGCTCCACACACCTCCTAACAAGCCTCTCTTGCTCTGGTCTTGCTTGCTGCCTTTTAATTCATATCTCCACACTGCACGTTCTATGATCTTTCAAAATTACCAATTTAATCATGTCAGTTCCTGACATCGAACTTTCCACAAATCCCTAACTTCTCAGGAATAATGCAAAATTACTTAACCTGAATATGAAGCTCTTTGTGGTTCAGCCCCTGCTTAAAGCCTTGGCATCTCAGAAGCCCAGTGCTCTCTCTTGTACCTGGGTCTTTGCACATATGGCTCTCATGGCCTATGAGTCCCTTTGTCTGTGTCCTCTCTTTTGCTTTCTCCCCTTTCAACACCAAACCCCATGCTTCATGATAACTTCTAAATTGTTTTCAAAGCTTGGTTCCAACATCAGGAATCACCTCTTCACAGAAGTCTTCCTTAATCCTCCTTGTCTGGGTTGATACTCCTATACAAAACAACCCTAAGTTTATTTTAACTAAAATATTTATTACTCAGTATATAATGATGTATTACTTGTCTGTCCTCCCACCACTTGGTAAATAAGTAATGTTAATTTTTATTCCATCTGTTTGTCCCCACCTCTAAATTAGCAAAATAAAACATTAAAAGGCATTTAGAAGGTCCTCAATAAAAACATTATTGAGTTAATTAAGGATTAAATTATGCTACTACCTCTTATGTAAAGTCCAAAATGATAGTTTTCTTAAATTTTAGGGCCAAGGCAAGCCAACTTTCTGCAAAAGAACTATTGTTCTGTGTTATAATGAGTGCTATAATTATATTATATAAACAATATAAGTATACTATGTATTAATTAAATAAACATTATGTTGCTTTGTTCTATATGCCCAGATTGTTCAGAGCCAAGTTGATATTTAAGCATAGTTACTGTGGTTGACTTACTGACATCCTTCTTTCCTCGGCCCTGTTTTCTGTTACAATTGCATTAACCTTATTGCATTGGTCCATTACTGTAATGCTTTTCCAAAAGAACTTTTGGAAAACATATGGAATCAAAATAAATTGAATGAATAACAAGTTCAAACATATTTGTCATAATTCCAGTGGTGAAGAATCTTTCCATTTGGAAGAGGAGAACAGTACATCAATACGCAAGTAATAGTGAGAAAATGCATCAGGGCAGGATGAAAGTTGCTGTAGATTTCAAAGGCAGAAGAGGTAAGCATCTTTCATGACTGAAGAACAGACCTTTAAGGACAGGAGAACACTGGGACAAGCAAAGATAAAAGCATTCCAGGTAGAGCAAAGAGCATGTGAAAGGCTGGCAGAGGAGAAGCATGCTGAGCACCTGGTGGAAAATGTCTGACTGGCACTCTCAGTGCAAACGTAAATGTTTGATGTTTCCAGAGATTAGCAAACCAACTGCAAATTTTACAGATGTTCAGAAACATTGATTTTTAACCTCAAACTGATCTTTAAATTATGCTATCATATTGATAGAAAGTGTTTCATGAAATTCCAGTCAGTCATGTGATAGGTAGTAAGATCTACAGCTGTTAGATTTTAGGGAAAAAAAGTCTCAAACATCCATTCCACAGTTAGCTCCACGCCAGCACTGATGGTGCATTTCTCTTGCAATAGTACTGAATAAACCATAGAGGAAAATAATGCTGAGAGGCATGTTAAATTTCTTCTGCAGGTGTTAAAATTGACAGCTGTTATAGCAACAGCCCTTCAGGGTCTTCCTGCTGCTCTAAGAATATAGCCCCATCCCAACATTTTCCTACCCGTACAACCCCACCTTGCTTTAAAGGAAGCAAAGCAATCTTACTCTGCTTTCCAAAATGTTCTTTATGTGAAGCTAATATGGTTATCCCTCTCCCTAAGCCACCCAGATGGAAACCTCTAGTGCTCCCCAATATAGCAGACCTTAGCTGGGCATTAGGAATAAGACATCAATCTTATTAATCCAGTTTAAACTAAAATAAGTATGGTTGATGAAAAGAACTCTGATTTAGAGTCAGAAAACCTGAAATCTGGTAAATTCATGGAAGGGAATATTACACAGCAATGATAATGTATGAACAGCAACTCTACGAAACAACTTGGAATAAATATCACAAATGTAATTTTGATTAAAAATGTTCAACATAAAATAGTATATGTTGTTTCACACCATTTTTATATCTTTAAATTAATATTTTTAATACTTAAAATATTATTCTATTGTTAGAGAGGCATTGTGGTGGTTTGTCCTATATGACATAGTAACTGGCTGACTGGTAGGAAAAGCAGAGGAAGGAAGTCAAAATTAAAATCATTTTAATGCTGCTCCCCAAATAAGCATGAAGTGGATACATATGAATCAAGGGGTGGACTGTGGTAGACACGGATGTGTCCCACCAAGTCTCACTTCAAGAGAGTTGACTGGTGGCCTCTATCTGCTGCCCCATGAGTGCTATGGCCACTCCCCTGATCTGCTCCTAGCTAACTTAATTCAATGGGGGCATTAATGCTGGCCCAGTCCTGCCCAGTGCAGGATTTCTCTAATGGGCAACTCTGGCTTGGAGACTCCCCAACATAATGGCCAGGATATTCTAAAAACTGTGCTGCAGTTTTCCTATCCAAGTGTTCTTCCTCTTTCTTTGTTCACAGATATGGGACCTGAATCAGAGTCTGAGAGTCCGTTTGTCTATTTCTGCTCCCTCCCCCTTTATCCGTCACAGGCACTTCTCCAGTAATTTCTTTTACAAGTCTGATTCTCTAATCTCATCTCAATGGCTGCTTCTCAGAGAACTTGAACTGACATGGGGTTGCTGAAATTGAGTAACAGACTCTATTGTATTTAATATTGCCCCCCCATCCACAGATCTGGAGGAAATGTCCATTTTAATTGACTTCTTTTCCCAGAGACAAATGTCTCTCTTACCAATTTCCATCAAGATAATCCCCTCACCTCATCCCCAGGCTCCTCAAATATGCAAACTGACTCCTGACTGATTCTTAGTACTTTCCCTCCAGACAAGTGAAGACAAGTCAACATCCCAGAGAAAAACAGTGTAAGGCTACCCTGAGGTCCCCACCAAAGACAGAAGAAAAAATTCACCATTTATTCAACTCTCATCTCCATGGGATAAGTTGCTGAGCAGAAACCCTAAACTCCTATGCATAATTTGAAAACCAAATAGGGAGAAGCTGCTTGCAGGAGTAAGGACTCCTGCATTATTCTTTTAGGAATTAGTCTGATTGGGCAGAGTTAGATAGAGGTCTATCTCAGACTTGTACATGATATCCCTTGAATTACAAAGAGATGACATTCTTCAACAGTCACCCAATGCAAAATCGCATATGTGACCCTCATAAAATTACACAAGAACTACATATCCTGTATATTTTACAGCATAGAAAGACACTTTAAAGCATTTCATAAATACTTCCGTTCTCTTCATTTCACAACAGAACAGTTTGTATAGTTTTAAATTAAAAGCATCATATTGTAAGCCACAAATACACCCAATAAAATTTATTTTTAAAAAAGCATAATAATTTGGCCTATTGGAATAAAATGTAAGTAAATAATACAATGGTCTTCCTCCATCACTTCTTCAAATATATCTTCAGAAAATCAAGAGAATAAAAATCCTTGACTAATGACAAAGAAAAACTCACTCTCAGGTTTTGAGCTGGGGTGAGAAGAAGAAACAGGAAAAGTAGGATAAGCAGCCACTCAGGTTGAATGAGGCTGCACGGAAAACAGATTTTGAGACAGAGGCAAAAAACCTGGAAATAAATATCCAGTGAGTCATTGGAACATTTAAATGTAAGCTTAAGAGAGAGTTTGGGCCTCACACTGGTGTGGCAGGCAGAATAACTGCCCCCAGAAGTCCATGTCCTAATCCCTGAAATGTAGAGCATGCATAAAGCAAATATACTTCACGGGGCCTGGTTTTCCAAAGCTTTGCAGTTTCAAATATTGACCTTACAAAAACCAGGAAATTTTCCCCAGGCTCTTTAGTCTCTGTTGTAGGATAAAGAGTTGTAACAGAGCAAAGCTGCTGGTTCAGAGACAGACAAGTTACTGATTGATATGTAAAGATACTGGGAAGCTGCTGTAGGGAAAAGGAATGTTTGTTAAAATCAAGCTTTTGTTAGTGGATTGACTTAATTGCATGTTACCAGCTTCTATTGTTAAACTTGTTAAATGGCTCTTAGCAAAAACTCCACCCATGTTCTCTTCCTGTAACTTCCTGGTCTGAAGAATAAATGCAGGAAGAGAACCCCAATTCGTGGTTAATTTCCCAAATGGAAGGGAATGCTTCTCTCTTGAGGGTTCTGGGATATTAATCCCTTTTTGAGGCTTCTCACTGCTCAGTAGAGATGGGCTTTGAGTAATCTTTGGCAGCTCTAGCACCCAGGGGAAAAGGGGTGACAAATCCATGGGAGACAAAGCAACACTGAAACCTAGGAATATATTACTTGACATGGCAAGAGGGACTTTGCAGATAGAATTAAGTTGAAGATATTAATATGGGAAGATCATCCTAGACTATCCAGGTGGGCCGATTGTAATACCAAGGGTCCTTATAAGAGAGAAACAAGAAGGTCACAGCCAGGGAAAAGGAAATGTTTCATCAGAAGCAGTGGTGGTAGTCAGACAAAGATATTTCAGGATGGTTACTCTTGGTGTGAAGATGGAGGAAGAGGCCATGAGTCAACGAATGCAAGTGGCCTCTAGAATCCAGAAAAGGCAAGGAAACAGATTCTCTCCTGAAGCCTCCAGAAGGAATGCTAGCCTGCCTGT